CCGCCGGCCGCAGCCAGCCGGGGCATAATACGGTAAATAAATACGAGCATGGGGATCCGCGTGTGAACGAAGCCCCACTCCCCCTCCCCTTTTGCTTTCGCTCCCGAGCCGGCGCTTTTTTTTTCTTGAAATTTCCCTCTTAAAATGAAGGTGCGTGTTATACGCCGGTGCGTGTTATACGCCAATAAATACGGTACTTATAAGGTAATGCGGGATAAAAATCTAATAAAAATTTATTATAGAGTACTCGGCTCAGGAGTGTAAATATTAGCACTGTCTAGCACTGGAACTGCACTGCATGTGTCAAATGCAGCCACAGTATCTTGGAAAAAGATGCAGAGGGATGCTATGCTTAATATCTCCATGTACTTCAAACCAGCTTTTTTGTTTTGAATCCAAACCCCATTGAACAGCCTACTAAATGTACTATCTTCTGTGGATGCTTTGAATGTTAAATCAACAACACTTTTGCTTAACTAATTTAGTGGTTTTATCATGAACACATCAGTTTATCAAGTAGAAATGAACTTCATTATAAAAAGTCAAGGCATATTCTTCATTTCCTGTATAGCAAGAATAAATTGCAATTCTGTTTTCACAAACATACTGATCACAAACTAGCTACTGTTATTTTTGCCTATTGTGCTAAATGAATTCAGTCTGACTAGTTCACAATTCAACATATTGTGTGAATCCAGAAAATTAGATTAAGTAAATTGTGATTATACTAATAATACAGAAGCATATTGTGTAAGTACAATGTATAAGAGGACAGACTGTCATTTCAGCTGGCTGTTAAATTGTGCCAACTCTTAAATTACTTTTACCTTTAAAGTATTACAGAGAATTCTTAGATTTAAAGGAGACTTAAAGATAATCTCAGAAAACTGGAAAAGACCATTGTTTCACATACTAGCCTAATGATTATAGATGTGTCATATAATTGGATGTTTAAATAAGCTGAGTAATAATTTTTGAAATTCAGATATATAGGTATGAATTAAAAAGCCTCTCCATGTCCTAGCAGTAGATCAACTTCAAACTGAGTAGTAATTCAGAATTTTAAGATGCTGTGTTAGGTTGTGTGAAGGACTCCATTCCCAGGTCAGATTCAGCTTGTATAATCTTTTGAATTAAATCTTTGCATTTTATAGTGGAATGTAGTAACTTTTACTTTCTTCCTTATATCAAAGTAAAAAATACATTTTGGCATTTGTATTTTTAGATATTAACGTATACCCGGGATTAGCTGTGTTTTTTCAAAATGCTTTGATATTTTTTAGGTAAGTACCGATGCCTAAAGAGTTGAATAAGTTAAAGTTAATAGTTTAAATGGGTAATTCAGACAGCAGAATGGGTGTTAATGTTCATTCTCCATCACTGTATATCAAAATTAGAAGTTAAATAAATATTAAACCTAACAATAAAATAGGAAATTTCTAAGCAAATAATTAAAAAAGAGCATATGCTAGGCTACTCTTGTGTTTGCAAGGCATCAGATTTCCTGCTACTATCATTTGATAGGCTAGGTAATAAATCCATTTATAATTTCAATATTGCCATTTAGATTTTCAAAATCAAAATTACCACCTCATAGTAGAATACCTTTCCTTGTCTCTTCTATGACTGAACAAACATCTGGAGCACTGTTTTAGTCAGACATTCAAAACAGGCTGCGTATATATGTTCAGTTCTGTGATAAAAGTCTCCTTCAACTTGTGTCCCTGAAGATTCATGCTTTGCCCAACTGTCTTCTAGGCCCCAGTTTTTAATATCAAGTAGTTCTCAAGATGAAATCAGAAGGAACAGTACATGTTCTCTTTTCCTTTGCCTTCAGGATTTATTCCACTAGCCTTTGCTCATTAAGGGAGGCTGTATAGATAGTGCTGTATTTTATCAAACTTGTGACTAGTACTATTACTATCACAGGTAAAGATTTGCACAGCCTTGTTTGCATATGCAGGTACATATAGAAAGAGACTATTCACAAGGTTATTACTGTTTTTAAAAAATCTTTATTCATAACAACCCTCTCTTCTCAAGATAGAAAAATTACACAATACCTTTGATGGGTACTTCTAGGGCCCTCTGCTTTGAAATATCCTTTAATAATGCCGCACTTGTTCAATACAACTGAGGTCAGAAGTAAATGTGATTAGGCACAATTTCACGAATGAAGCTGAGAGGTCAAATATTATTTACCCTTTTCTCCCACTGAACTGTTTTCATTTAAGCAGTTCTTCATTAAAACACACAACTGAAATCTATATACATCTTAAGAATAGCCCTTTGAGTTTGTTGACTATATCGTCCCTTTTTTTATTCTCCCCCCCCCCCCAGTTTTTGGATTTTAAGTGATAGAAGCAGTATGTTTACACAGTGTTTAATATATTTTAGCAACTGTAAAAGCTACTTTCTTTTCAACATTTAAGCAATAAACAGGCAAAATGGCTATTTATCCTTCACTTCACTGTGCTTTCAGTTGAATTCCTTTGAATCTTAAAGAGTGCATTAACTTATCCAGTACTGATCTCTTTGGTTTTTTTTATGGAAATGACAATGTGTTCTATTCGAGGGAAAAATAAATACTGACAATTTAACTAGTTCAGTTAATAAGGCTTTGTTGATATGCTACTTCAACTTCCACCTTTTAAAAAATGCTCTTTAAAAAGATCATATCACCAAAGCACTGGATACTGGATTATATTGGAATTACCGTAAATCCATTATTGCCATATTCAAGCACATATGCTTTTTCGTTTAAAACTAGTGATGGAACAGTTGAAATATATGCTAGTTTTTACTGTGCCTTTTTACTGAAGAACAAAACAATGTTTGACTTACAGGTCTAAATTTCTGTTTTTGTAGTACCCTTATCTACAAATTTGGAAGAACAGAAGAATTGTGGGCCTAAGAA